GGGCTGTCCGTACTATGTGCTCGTAGGACTACAGTACAGTACATGTACTGCACCCCGTTTTCGCGCCCTTGGACCTTTGATAAACCTCCGGGTGTGATGCTCTTGAATCCAAATGAACTACATGCTCTCACTCCGAACTTGCTCGTTGGGCAACGGAGCACTTTAACCCTTCTACTACGACATTAAGGATAATTCGGAATCTAAATTATAGAGGTGAAATTGTTCCGAGATGTCCGCAACAACATTCGAGGAACGACAATTCGGCATATTGAATTTTGTATGCGATAAATTTAAACGGGTTAAGTGTAAGCTGCACACCACATGCGACACGGGATTGTCAGAAAGCGGTTAGGTTTACATATATAAGGAGTCAAGAGACTCTCCCAGCCCTCCATTTGGAAATCAGCGCCGGAGAAGAGACCATCACTCCTGAAGATGTTCACCTTCGAGAAATCGTTCAACCAGATATGGCGCGAATTGAAGAAGAAAGGCTGGCTGTATCGAAAATCCTCTGGCCTCAGCAACGCCCCCCGCTACCTCCCCCCGGTGGCAACCTCGCGGGATCGGAAGGCGTGGACTACTTTGAAGGTAATACTACCGATGCGAATGTGCTATATCTGCAACTAACCGTGTACGTTTGTCAGGCGAGATGAGTCTGCTTCGCTACTGCCGCCGTAAAGGATGGCTTGCCTTCGAGACAACTCCACCAGCTTCGACGCCGACCATCGCCGAGCCCGAGCAACCCAAAAATGCTCCTGGCCCGTCCGAGACTACGTCAGCACTGTCTGAAGAGAAACCCGCGCGGTCAGAAGGAGATTCCGAAGCGGTGCCTGCGCCGTCCGAGCCTGGATTAGCTGCACCCGTTGCCGCACCGAAGGAAGCTGCTGCGAAGAACACTGCGATTCCTTGGCCGAGGGCTGCTGCCAAAGCCACTGCCCCAGCGAGAGCGTCGACTATCTCAAGCGTACCACCTGCACCTGGCAAGGCCAGAGGTTCTAGCAGACCACGACCCGCAAGCAAGGCAACTAGCTCGGCACACGACATTGAAACGGATCCGCAACCTCGACCGAAAGGCAAGCGCAAGGCATCGAGTACATAAACGTCTACGAAACGACCCCGTACTGGTACGTTTGAGTTTCTGATGTTGACTGTTGCGAAATATATACTAAATTTCTTGTTACGGATTGTGCAGTTCCTGGTGTTCAGAAAACGACCTCACGTACCACGGATAATACCCCGCAACCTGTTCCGAATACCCCTGTCGAGGTTGAGGAAACTCCTGAATCGTCTATTACGGCGGTACCCACTCCGACAGCAGTTCCAAGCGCGGAGCAATCTGGAATTTCTCTAGATGACTTCGATTCGATTAGCTTCTTGGAGCACTGCGACGGGACCGGCTGTTTGGGCCAACTGATGCTGATGATATAAACATTGGAGGTGGCGACTGGTTGCTCCCTCTAGATTCCGAAGCGGAAGGTGACGAAGAGTCCATTTTGGCGGACGAAAACGATGAAGAGGACAAGGCAGTTGCTGTTGCTCTTGATGACCAAGTTGATGACGACGTGGCAACTGAGCGTGACGAAGTGCCAGTGGAGTTTGACGTGACTGGTCCAGAGCTTGACAGACTTCAAGCAGAGGGGTGGGAGGTGTTCGATGAACGCCACGCGGGCCAAGTGCAACACGATGCATTACCCCTCTACGACGGCCCATCTGGTCCAACCCGAGCTGCGCTGGCATACGCGGAGAATCCTATCGCGATATTTTACTTTTTCCTGCCGAAGGAGCTGTGGCGAAAGATTGCAGCCGAGACGAACAAGTACCGTACGGACAGCATCGACAGTACTTCGCAGCAAATGCGTGCACGGGCACGTCAGCGGCGCGAACTCGTCCCCTCAACAATAGTGCTGACCATTGATGAGTACAAGGCAGAACTAGCGCGCAAGCCATCCATCTGGCTCCACGAGATCATTCGGTTCATCGGTTTGCTTATCGCACGAGCACTGGAGCCACGCCAAGAGAGTCTAAGTCGGCACTGGGTCACGAAGGTCGAGGGTACACTGGCGCGCGGCATGTTTGGCCAGTTCTTGAGTCGGGACCGGTTCCAAGACATTGCGCGGTATCTCCACTTCAACGATAACGAACGACAGTCCGACAGTGGGGATCGGGCCTTCAAAATTCGGCCCGTGGTTCAAGCGTCGCAGAAGACGTTCTTCAGAGGATACCGAATGGGTGCACGGATGAAGGGATGGTGCCGATGCGTCATCGCCGCAACCCAATGCGCCAGTACATGCCGGCAAAGCCAAACAAGTGGGGCACCAAATTTTACCTGACGTGCTGTGCAGACACCGCCTACTGCTCCAGGTACGAAGTACGATTGCTACGGATATCTGTCTAACAAGACGGATATCCGTAGTAATTGTAATCTGTCTGGTCCGTAATGTATTCTGTATGAGCCGTAATATCTCGCTAACCGAACTGTGTTGTACTGTGTAGATTGGATATCTATTGCGGCAAGGCAAATCAAGACGAAGAGGCTGTCGCGCAGCAATCTGTGGTCAAGAATATTACCAAAGCCCTTCGTGGGCAGCCTTCACAACGCCTCATTTGCACTGACAGCTTCTACACGTCAATCCCGCTATCAGACAAACTGCTGAGCATGGGCCATCGCCACGTGGGAACTATCAGGAAAGATCGCAAGGGCTGGTGTGCGGCCATTGAGTTCAAGCAAAAGAGACGACCGAAGCGTATGCCGCGCGGAACGTGCAAGTTGGCTGTGTGGAAGAGGCGCCGTGACTTCGTTGCGCTTACGTGGATAGATAATAAGCCTGTTAGATTTCTGGCGACGGGGTGCTCAACACATACCACTCCAGTCTCCCGTAGAGAGCGCGATGGCTCCATTTCTGCCGTGCCATGCCTCCAGCTTGGGCGCGACTACCACGAGGCGATGGGGGGAGTAGACGTTCACGACCAGCTACGCCTGCAGCGATACTCCGTCAAACGCTTGATTCGCATGCGGAAGTACTACAAGACGATATTTCTCGGTCTCGTTGATATTGCAATGGTGAACGCGTTCATCGTCCACAAGATTGCGATGCGCAGCCGCGGGAAACCGGTGCCGACCCATGCGGCATTCATGCAGCGACTGCATACCGATCTGCTGAATCATGCAAGTGAGGATTTTGCTGCTGGTGACGACTTAGCAGATCTAGTTACAGAGCCTCTCCCATGTCAACCTCACACACTCGAGAAGACCGAGGAAATGAACGGCGTGAAGCGTCGTCAGTGGTTGTGCAAGGTGTGCTCAGCGTACGCTGGGCCCGGCGTACGGAGCTACGAGACCAGCTCCTTCTGTGCTTCGTGCTCAACGGTCAAGCAGGGGAGAGTCACCTTGTGTAACAAGGCGCGCAGATTGGGGCACGGCAGCGCTCTAACATGCAATGAGGTGTGGCACCAGAGCTGGAAGAACGGCATGGCCTTCCCCCAGAGATGCAGCACAATATCAGGTTTGTTAGGAAGCGTAGGCCCGAAGTTGAGAGCGAGGTCGACGAGGAGTAAGTGAATGAGCAGTTGTGTGAGTGCTGGCCTTCTAGTGTTGTCTCGTTGTTGCTGTACGGTGTAACGGTTTTGCAGGGAGATCGCAATTGAAAGTTTTATGGACAGGTTCTGTTCTGCACATCATTCACAATTAGCCAATCACATGCCATAATCTGGACACGTGTCACGCGAAACGGCTCACAACATGGTAAATTGTACTGATTTTCCGGCATACGTTAACTCATATATTAGGAATTACGGATACTCCGGAATAATCTTCGGATTAGAGGGGTTAAGACCCCTTAAGCTGTAAAGCGCACTACCGTCCAGAGTATTCTTAAGCGGTCGGCGGACGTTGCCGCCTAGCCGGATGCCTATCGCGACCGGAAGCGCTGTTGCGCGCCCGCGATTCGCGCGTCTGACGCCAAGATTATGAAGAAGATTGACGAGTTCAAGACTTGGCACGGAAACGCAACTATTCAGGGCTCTACGGTACTAATGATTGCTCAGCGTGAAGGAGTACAGCTACCCGGAGGCAATGCACCTAGTCGAGGGTGGCTGTACCACTTCCAGCAGCGCACATGGCTGTGGTTTTCGCAAGCTCCCGCCTAATACAACTGCCGAACTGCAGCCCATGGACCAGGGCATCATTAAGTGCCTGAAGAATGAGTACCAGAACAAGAAGCAAGCCGCGGAGCTGTTCTATAAGGGTGTTCCTTACACGCCGGTCGACGTTTATTCCGCCATGAAGTGGTTGTCTGAAGGCTGGAACAACATATCTGCAAAGACTATTACAAACTGTTGGTGCCACACAGGCATCGTCTCAAAAAAAAACGTAAATTTAGTACTGAATTAACAAAACAAATATCAGTGCACTGGATTTGCGTCTGTTTTTTGCTTTACGTTGTGCACTTATGCCCTGGCCTGCCGAATTGGAGGTGCACGACTGTACTGTTTGTCAGCTAAAATCTGATTTATTTGCAAATCCTATATGGTCCACCCCCGCGAAAACGGGGTGCAGTACTGTACCAGGACTTAAATACTAACTAATACATGTAGTAGCTCTGCTTTTGACCCTTCATGTAGTAACTCAAATGCCCGTCCTGATTACTCTCGATTGGACTACAGATGCAATTTAAGCACAAGAACCAGGTTCTCGAGATTATAATACTACTGAACTAGGATAATTCGCTGAAGACCGTCGCGAACATGTGTGAAACTGTTATTTTGCCATAATTACAATCTCCTTTAGAGGGGACCTGAAAACTCAAACTTGCTAAAAATGGTTCACTCCTATGACGTAGCATTATCTATAAAGTTAGATTTCTGACGACTTAGGTCACGGATTGAGTGAGTAATTACATGCACAAGTATTTTAAGATCGAACAAGACCAGATCCAATTTGTAACATTAGCCGATAACGTTAAATGGTTCGACCGACTGCAGCATGATTAAGTAGCAACAGTTTACAAAAAGTTGGTGTCAACCCACCACTCGGTTTTAAAGTCCTCTCCCAAAAGGTCCGTGATCTTTACAGAAGCGTTAAGCTGACCGCTAAACGCAACCCGCTGGTCGATAGCCGCGCCAGGTCCACTGTTGTTGAACTCCTTGAAGTAGACGTTTTCCGTGTTGTTGTTATTTTTGTTCCAAGTCGACCATCCTAGCGGGTTGACAACGTCACCAAGCTCACTGTTCTGCCAGACGACGCGAGCGTAGGGGTACCACGGGCGACCAAGGTAGGTCGTTCCGTTCATGGAAGCGTTGGTGTTGAACACACGAGCGTTGTTGAAGACGTACTCAGAGAGATTGGAGCTGTTAGTGTTGCCATTGGCTGTAATCCAGCCCTTTCCAACGGTCTCAAAATCGCATGACTCGAACCAGGCCTTTGCTTGCATGCCAAACACAAAGTCGACAGCTCCGCTAATGTACGAGTGGGCGTAGAGCTCACGGCCCTTGTGTGCACACAAAGTATCTTGGTACCCGGTGAAGTTGCAGCCGTAGAACCCGTAGTCTGTGTTGTCGACGTAGACAGCCACTGCCTGGCCGAGTTTTTCAATCTTACCCGATGGGTTGGCGACGTTGAGGTTGTACATTCTTACTCCTTTCCCCGATTTGAGGCGCATCGTGCTGATCAAATCGTTGCGGCTATTCTTGATCTCGGGAGGAAGATCTCGCTGCGCCATAGTGTGCGTGATTGTGACCTTGTTTTCCGCATAGGACGTCGTGTCGCACGTGTATCCCTGGAGCACCAATGGACCAGCCAGGTTTGGGACCAGCACTTGTTCTTGGTAGAGGCCGGGGAAAATGAAAATGGTGTGCTCCTCCGTCGTGTTGGGCAGGTACGCCATACCCTCCGCCATGGTCTGGTAGCTTCCATTGAAAGTGCCAGTGACGTCGACGACGATAGCTCCTGGTGGAGGGATGGTGCGAGCGTTAGGTCCATTGCAGGTAGTATCGGCCGTAGCAAGTGTGGCTGATGCGAGTCCGGCGACCGCCAGGAGTGGCAACACAAAAGAGTGCATGTTAGTGTTGCTTGAGTAGCAAGAAGGAAAAACCAAAATGACCTACATTGGAGTTCCTTGAAGGGACATGTACACATCTGGTTGGGTCGTGTATCCCAAAGATGCGGATTACAAATGCACGTTTGGAAAACCTTTAGAGGAAAGGACTGTAGATGTACAGTACAGTACAACATGCTGCTTTCAATTTGACAAAACCCTTCGTGATTACATATATTTCAAAGTATTAGTCACGGATTTAGGTGGCCGAGTCGACATGAACGTACTTCTGCCACCTTTTATCTTAACATGTTTTTCTGATATCGGGAGTGAAAATTAGTCAATTAATAAAAGATCCTCATTTCTACAACCATCATTTCGGTACTGAATAAGTGAAAATCACATGTACTAAGCCCTCCTTTTTACCTAGTCTAGCTCTCTTTGTTCGCAATCTTCATCGCTTTGTTTATGAAAGTACTCCGACAATCAGTACCTAGTATAATGTCGAGTAGACGAGACTTCCCGAGACTATCTATTCCAGATTCGCAACATGCGGACCGCAATCCAAGCTTACGTGAAAACCCTTTTCCAGTCGTGTTCTTCGTGTGTTCGTGTTGTTGCCGATGATGATTTCCTTAATGACAACAATGGGATTGCAATCGCTGCAATACGTAGCGTAAACACATTGGTAATTGTTATACATTTCATTTTTAACTACAAGTGAATTTATTAAAACCGAACGACCTATTATTACAAGTGGAATGCTAGTTTTGCGGCACGCGAACTTGACGACCTCATGACAAACGCCCAACGATGATGAAAGTAAAATAAAAAAAATCTAATAAGTACTATTTTTGATAATAAAAAAACGCATTTGCTGTCGTGTTATGCTGAGCTCCGCCTTCGTTGTGGGGGCAGAATGGTCGACCTATGATTGTTTTTGATTTTCAGTCATCGCTAGCTACAAAACGTTGATTGTAACTACCGGTATAGTGTGGGGTACCACTGACCGTGAAGTGCGCTATTTCAAAAGCCTCCGACCTCATCAAGATGATGAAGAAGAAGGGGAAGCGCAAGAACGTCCAGATACGACACACCGTATGATAAAGTAAAGTGCTAGCGTTGCTGTACCTAACACGTACCTACAGCTTACATTCGCTTCTTTAGGTCCACATTGTAGTATCAGCCTGCAATCTCTATATTTAAACCAGGTTAAAGCATTTACTAGTACAGCAGCCTGTAAGATGTTATACTAGTGGCTCTCGCGATTTGAATTTTTGCATGTTTCACCATTCAATAAGATTCCTGTATCTTTTTTTACCAATAAACCTGCACTGACCCTGCAACCTGCTTGTTTTCTAGCTGTAATTGTATGCTAGCATTATTTCAACGTTCCGTGAATCTGATTGGGTAGTGAAACCTACAACCTGCTTATCTGCCAACCGTAAAAGCCACTACATGTACTATCATAAGTGACGTCTCTACAAACCTAGTTAATGATCTGGAACAGGTGATTAGTATACTAACATCACAAGCGAAATAGCAAAGAATGGTGACATACATACACAGTAAAAAGGCAACATATTATATATCGCACACGATTGGCCCTGAGCTCCATGCTGCTGCTTCTTTTTAGCAGGAAAGTATTCGCCATTCCCAAGCGATCAAGGCAAACGCAAGCCACTTTAAAATATGGTTCTTGTAAAAAAAAACGGAGGTACTGAATTAAGCTATTCTGAAGTTTCTTCAGTCTACAGTCCTATGTTGAGAAATATAATGCTGTCCTTCTGGTTCGACAGCTAATGGTGCTAGGTTTTTGCTTTGCCCAAAAATGCTTAAAGATCGCTTCCAAACTCAATAGGCGATATAAAAATTTACGCCGACTCAAACAGTAGTCCGTGTGGTACAATAGGTACTGATTTTGGGAGAAACTCAATTCCCGCGCAAAACAATAGCAGATCTGTTTATGCATAGCTAGTCATTTCTATATCATTATTTTACAAGATTTACGCGACTTTATCATTTTTACATAATCGAGTAAAACAAATACTGGAATTATATCAAATAGATACGGTGTACATGTAGTTTGGTCGTAGCATACACATGTCTGCGTCGGTAATCAACTGTCGATGATTCAATGTGGCGGATGTTCACCGTGCCAGCACCGAAAACAAATTCCTCACTTTCCATTTTCCTCTAGACCCCGAGCAATGAACACGTTTGCCTTGTTGCTTGCCGCGCTTAGTGTTCACTCGATAAGCTCAGCAGTCGTCGTCAATGCCACATGCGCTGGGCCAAACGCACGCACCTCTCCTCCACCCGGCGCCATTGTTGTTGACGCGACGGGCGCGCATAAGGGAAGCTTTCACACTTTAGCGGAGGGCGTGTCAAATCTTCCCAATACAACGGCAGAACAGACTGTCTTTCTCTTTCCCGGCGTCTACCACGAGCAGGTTTTCATCACACCACTGGCGGGGCCTCTCGTTCTACAAGGCTACACTTGCAACACGGAGTCGTACGCTGACAACCAAGTGACAATCACCCAGGCGAAGGCGCAAAGAGATATCCCACTTAATACTACAGGCGACCGCAATTATGCCACCAGCACATTGGGTCTGGCAGCGAGCAACATCAAGATGTACAACCTCAACGTGGCCAACACGGCCGGTAAGATTGGCGGCAAGGTCGGTCAAGCGGTGGCGGTGTATGCCAATGGAACGGACTACGGTTTCTACGCCTGTAACTTCTCAGGCTACCAGGACACGTTGTGTGCTCAAAGCGGCCGTGAGCTCTATGCCCGGACGCTGATTCGTGGTGCAACCGACTTCATCTTCGGCAAACTCGCTCAAGCCTGGTTCGAGAAATGTGACATCGAGGTCGTTGGAAAAGGCTACGTCACGGCTAATGGCCGCGACAACGAGACCAACCCGTCCTGGTACGTCTTTAACCACGCACATGTGTTCACCGCCAATGCTTCCTTGAATGGGTCCACCTACCTCGGTCGTCCGTGGCGTCCATACTCTCGTGTCGTCTTCCAGAACAGCGAACTTGGTGACGTTATCCACCCGCAAGGCTGGAAGCGTTGGAACAATGACACCAACACTGATAATATCTACTACAAAGAGTTTAACAATAGTGGGCCTGGCTCTGCAATCGAACAGCGAGTCCCCTTTAGTGGCCAGCTGAATGAAGCTGTGGCCATTTCCGACATCTTCGGCGAGAACTACACGTCTGAGTGGTGGGTTGACAATAAATATCTGTAAGGGCGAAGGGAAAATGACAATTACTACGTAACTAGATGTGATTTTGGTCTTGGAGTAGAGATGTCCGAAAAATAGGCTCTTACCGTGCTTTCCGGTATTTATATCAGAAATCATTTTTTGTATGGTCCTGATCAGGTTAAGGAGGGGAGGAAATAAGGAGGTGAATTATCGTTCCTCAAAAGTGTACTTTTGACTCCTGTATTTTCAGGCCACCTCTACAGGCAGGTGTAATTAGGCTCAAGCCAAAGCCAGGCCAAAGCTTTCGTGACCTATCATGCATTCTTACGTGTAGTGGAGAATTCCGGGCACAGACTTCCCTGAGGCACTTGTAGATGAAGGGAGGGCAGCACGTACTATATATACTACGTATTTTCGTTTTGATAATGCGTAATATTTATAAATATTGCTGCTGTTAATAGGGAGTCGAAAAAAAATGGCCTTATAGTACATGTGCTCTGGCTCGAATCCCATCGCAAGTAAATCTAACTGATGGCTCGGTACTTGTATCGATCTACTATAAACGGCCATCCCATCGCATTAAGGCTTTTGGGGCTACCGATGACTCGGTACTTGTATCGACTTACTAGTAACGACCATCCCACTGTCAAGTTAGTGCTACTTATGGCTCGATATTTGTAGCGACTTACTAGCAGCGGCCACTGCAACAGCATTTGTACCAATACACCAGTGAGGGTGATATCACCGCTAATGGATCACGAATTAATTCTTGTTCTTGTTGGGCTGTCCCCTACAGCACTAAAGCGCTAGTATAATATCTAAAGGGGTCGTGTTTCTATTCTTCCTGCCAGTAAAAGTAGATGCGTGCGGGGACAAGATCGTTTTTCAGAAGAAGTTCGCTTTACGTTTCATTGGTACTTGGTGTCATGAAGATATTATATATGCTTATAGGCCGACCAACAACAGGTGGTCGCAAGACAAAGTGGGATGCATTTTGGGAATATTCTGTCCGGACATCGTGTGTTCTCTATGAGATTTCGCAGGAACTACAACCGAACAGCAATGGACAACAGTATGCTGCATTCTATTTAAGTTTTAAATGAAGAAGCAAGTCGATACCTTGCTCAACTTGCCGACGTCAGACACCGCCGCCAGAGCCCGCCTCCGCGTGCTACACCTCTCTTACCCCGATATACCTCGCCTTTAACATTATATAATTTCTTATTTTGCAAAAGTATCCACATATTTTACTACAAGTCGTGTCGAGGTTAACCTGATGTTTATCTAATGACACCTAACTTTTAGTAATCCGTGCATTAAATATTTTGGCCATGTTTGGGCACGCAATGGCCGACGTCTCAAAAAGCGTCTGCGCATCCTGGATTCACTTCGGGCTCTCAAAACGCGAGCAATAGCAGCTTCGTCTCCCAGCGAGCGGTTGTCACATTGAGGGATGGAAAATCATTCCGAGACCATGGGGAGAAACGTACCGTAGTTAGACGCGGAATAAAGCGCTACATTTTGATTTTTTTTCTGGGTGAATCATTTGGAGACAGCCAGTACGTGCTGGCACTGAAGGACGATGCTAGTCAGTTTTGTGAATTTGTAGTCTGTGAGCCACCGACCAGTGCCGTGGTCGCTAAGGCTATTCTACAGTGGCATTCTCGTTTCGGGGTGCCGCAAATATTGATAAGTGACTAAGGCACTTATTTCAAATGTGAAGTGGTTGACAATAAGTTGAAGTGCGATCACGAATTTTCGGTGGCATATTGTCCGTGGATAAAAATTACTGGATGTTCAATAGAAGTAATGAAAAAAATGCTGTTTCTTAAATTCAGCGACTTTGTTCAGTAGTTAAGCAGGCAAAAACACACACGCTGTAATGATATCTTTTTTTTTTCAGATAAAATATCATTGAGCCAGCTTCTAAGTATCATTTAAAAATGAAACAGTCCCCTTTGCCTACAACAGTGCTCTTATCGGTATCATATGCAAGTACACTATACCGGAACAGGTACCAGTATGTTTTCTCCTCCTCACGTGTTGCCAAAATAACACTGGCAAAAGATGTTCTGCTTCGGGTTCTTACAGACAGCGATCTTGAGCTGACACGGGTTCGAATACCAGATGAATACAGAATTAGGTATGACAAAATTTGCAAAAATAGTTTTAACAAAGCTCATAAAAATAGTAAATAATACTTCGTATATAATACGCAATTAGGCAATGGCATCCTCCTTGCCATTAAATGAGCCGAAAGGGGCAGCATGCCTGTCGTAGCAGTGTAACTCAGCTTATTCGGGCTATTAATATTGAGTTCGGCGAAAACTGACGAGTAACTAGGGGTTTTCTTGAGGCTTTATCTATACTGCAGTTTAAAAACTACAATGTGAAACACGTGCCTCACCATAAATTGAAGCCTGAGCACTTGTGAGGTTTGATTCCTATTCTGCTATTTTATATTAACGAGAACTTCAGAATCGACATAAAGACGGAAGCTATGGCCTATACGTTGATTAAAAGATTTCTTTTGTCCCCATCGGTAGAATATGTAGGATGGCGACCGTAGCCTACAGACATACCCTCCCAATTCTAATTACATCTAGTGAAAGAGGAGATATGAGAGGTGTGGAGACTAATTCTCGAGCTCGTTTACCCCTGTCTTATCTAGGAAGTGGCATGGTCAAGTTGACCGAGTAAGCAAAAACAACCTGCCGTTTGAAGGCCTCAGAACGGTATTAGATACAATAAGAATATCAAATCAATTATAAATCAGTGAAGAGCTTGTTCAAGCTAGTATATAGCAGTTTGAGTTTTGCCAAATTCGACGTGTACTCGACAAAACTTCTTCAAAGACTTCTTGGTCCTGTTTTTAAATACTCCTATGTCGCTTTTTACTAAATTCAATACTAGTTCTATAAAATCTAATCTTTGCACGCCTACAAGTAGAATTGTATCCATGCTACTTGTAGGCTTTCAGCTGGGGGACAAAATATTAAGACCTATTTCAATCTTAAGCAATGGTTCTTTTTCAGTTTTATTCTAAAAATGGTAATGGACGTAACCTATTTCGTTAACACTTGTTCGCGCTTACAGTACACTCGACTTTTGTAAAGTTAGCGGATCTATATCACTAGACCATATCGTCCGTTGATAGTTTTCATGCTTTTAAGCATGTTACTACGATACTGATAAATCAAATTGATATTTTCCCACATTTAAACAAATACAGGAAAGGCCGTCGTTGTTAGTGATTACGACCATCACGCGCAGCAACATTTGACAAGCACACGACGATAACGTCTTATTTTCACGCAAACCTATGTTGCTGTTTCGACTTCGAGCTCGACACTGCAAGAAGAAACACTTCATGTATAACAGCGGGGTAATAGCACGCTGTGGTAGAACACGCTGTGGCTGATCAGAAGATATTTCACACCAGTACGCAAACACATGGAGTGTAAGTGAAGTACAAAGGACGGTCATTGTAGTCTTCACTTAACTGCAATAGGTACCGGTACCGATACTGCAATCCGGAGTGAGCCAATAATAATTGATTTTGGTTTTTAAGCGTTAAATAATTTGAACCATTTACCCATCTTCAATACGTGTCGACCCACCACCACAATGATACATCATTATCTTGAGGTGTCCAAACGAATGTGAACATGTATCCACGGGGGCGTGGCTTCACCCACGCTGTCGTCGAAGGCTACGGCTATCGCGGTTATCTGAAATCCGAAGAGATTACACAATACAGTATGTAGCATATATGCGTTTCCGGTTGTTCCATTGAACGCGCGCAAACTCTGATACTTCGTATATTCTTGCCTCGAGTGAGAGCCCACTTACGTACGCTATTGTGCGTCCTACTCAAAATTCCCGTGCGCGGCTCTTTGAATGAACGGGCACGGAATAGCGCAAATCTATTATTGATTGACTTGTCTTGAGGGAGAATCTACTTAAGTAGCTCCGATTGTGTTCGTAGACTGTGTCTATGGTGCCGAACGTGGACGATATGGTCAGATGACAATGTCCGGTACACACCAGAATGTAAAGGGTCCTTTAAGATAGTATCGTGTCGAGGGGCTGCGCAAATATTTACTGCTCGTTGCCTTGTACTACCGGTAATCAAATTTTTGCTATTATTCTGAGTAGGGCATATCAGCTTCGTTATCTACTTGTTGAGTCCATTAACGTGCTTTTTAATTTTTGTTAAGGTTGCCGCAGCGATAAAGCTTGACATTTTCTTTTTGGGAGTTAGCACTTTGTAAGACTTGACGATTTTGTAGCTGCACTCGATAATCCACCAAAGTGCACTTGAAAACCATTCCTACCCGTCAAGTTGACCAGCCTACTCGTATTGCGAAAATAATCCATCCGGTTTAGTGCTCTGTGTACTACAATCGAGCGAGCGGGCACTAATATCCAGTTTTATTTTAATTTTTTTTATCAAAGAAGGGAAGAACCAACTCTGTACATGTATTACAAATTCGGTTCTGTAATCAAGACAGTAGCTTACACATACGGGCCGGTAATCAGCACGGTAGCTTCGAATGCGTAGAATGTCACTTTTCAATTTCCATCGCAACGTCCGGATAATGAACACGCCCATGTTGCTGTCCCTCCTTCTTTTTACGCTCGTCTCTTGCTCAGCAATCGCTGGTGGAAATCCGTGTAGTGGAGATAATGCTCGTACCACTCCTCCACCAGGTGCTATCGTAGTTGACTCAATGGGATCGCACAAGGGAAGTTTCCGGACGCTGGCTGAAGGGGTGGAACATTTAATCGACACGTCGAAGCAGCAGACCATCTTCCTGTTCCCGGGTGTTTATCACGAGCAGGTGTTCATCACACCACTCGCCGGACCCCTCGTGCTGCAGGGTTACACTTGTAACACGAAATCATATGCTGACAATCATGTTACGATCACCCAGGCGAAAGCGCAAAGGGACGTCCCATTAAATGTGACCGGGGACCGCAATTGGGCAACGAGCACACTGGGTCTTGCAGCGAGCAGCATAAAAATCTTCAATCTCAAC